ATTCCTGCTCTATCTCAGGTGTGCCAGAGTCCTAAAGTCCTCAGTCTTGTAAAATACTATTATTACCTCTGTAATTAAGACCACCAGGAAGTTTTGGTTGCATTTCTACAGCAGGGAGGAGAGGTTCTCCAAAGCAGGGGGAAGCAGTGGCAACAGCAGCACTGCTAAACGAGAGCAATGACCGCAGCTCTGGCTCCAGAGCATGGGCTGGGTTGGAAGCAGCTTGCATTTAAAGCTAAGCTCCATGAAAGTAGCCCCTTAGTCCAAACTGCTGCCAATCCCTGCTTTAGAGCTTTTACAGAACAATGAGTCTACTGTTCAACAACCACCTGCACCCCCAAAAGATCTGCCCTACCAGAGCAAACTAAGCTATAAGTAAAGGCCAGCAACAGAACTGAACATTTGAGACTATGCTTTTTTAACCTGTTTCACTGTGCGGGTTTTTAGAGACATTCCTGAAGCACTAAAAAAAAGTCTCTTTTCACTTACAGTACAACAGCATAGAGAATCAAACCATACTAAATCAGTGCAGCGGGAATCTGGTCTGAAGAGGCCAAAAGGCACAGGAACTGGTTACTGGAATAACTCAAGCCTTTGCAGTCACTTCTTTGAATGTGAGTGCAAGAGAAAGAGAGAGAAAACAATATCTTGACTATTTTCAACAGTTTAGGCATCTAGTTAAGGAAAATAAGGACCAATTTAACCACTACCTTTAGGTGTAGTAGATCAAAAGCTTGGGAACATCATTCAAATGATCATACAGGTTCTCATGCTTTTATAATTCAGTGCGTGTCTGTCAAAATCCCAAATGATAAGGAGTTTCTGAAATACCTGTTAAATTAAGGCTATTTCCTTCAACTGTGAATAAGTAAGCTTATGTTTAAAGGAACTTATTTTACTCACCATCCCTATGAAATTCTGCTTGGTTATTTCTCAACCAATGTGGTCAAACACTTTGCAATTTTAAGAAGAAAAGTGGATAGGGAGAGAATTGCAAAATTTTCCAAGGTTTTTGTTTGTTTGGTTGGTTTTTACCAGATCCATTTGGCATACAGTGATTAGCAAAATTGTGTTAGACTGCTATCCTTATACAATTATTTGCAACTCTCTCACTTTAGTTTCTGTGGGAGAGAGTTCTTACAGGAAATAGCTTTTTTTTCCCAACAGTCCTCTCCCACTGAGAGCACTTAATACTCCAATCCATTTGGTAGCCCTTTCTTTTACTTACTACACAGTGTTCACATACAGTCTACAGTAATAGCCCAGTCCACTCACAACCTCTTAACTGATAAACTTTGCTATGAAAAGTGAAAGCAACTGTTTCAAATTCTGCTCAGCTGTCACTAGGGAGGAATGCTGTAGCCATTCCTAACAGCAATCAGACGGCAAAATCAGTCCCTCGAGAAATGAACAAAGAGGATTCAAACACTGAATATGCTATGGCAAGTTTCTTCCAATGCATACAGCTACTTTGCATTAGAGTTAGGTTGCATTTGTCTTCAGATGGTGATAAGGCTGTTAAGACCACACTTCAGACAAAAGTGCTCGTAGCACTGGATGAAATGCTGAGTTCTCACCCTGCTTTTTGCATTAACTTTTACAGTCTGCTCTCACCCAAAGGCAGTTCTAGAAAATCTATTAGAAGACTTTGCAAACAAGGAATCACTCACTCTTTGTATTACTGTCTTACCGCCCAGAAATTACTATCTTGTTTTCTTCCTTCCAGTTTCTCATCTCACTTTGCCAAATGCTGTGTTCCATTTTAACCAGGGTAGGGTCAAGCACCAAGCACAGCAAGTTCAGCATTGTGTGATGGTGTTATGCTCAGCCCAGAAAGCACAAACTAGCAAACGGCAGTGTGCTACAAAAAAGGGGTGAGAGACAGCCTTGTCTCTGCTGTAACTCCACCTGTTTGGACGGGAAGGACAGTGGTGAACAGGGGACTACCCACCGCAGTTCACTATGCTCAAATGGGGCTAAAAGTGCCACAGATGGGGTAAGTACATGAAGACTCGCTCATCCACTCAAACTGCTGTTGTTGGCCTTGTCCATGAAGGCTGCAGCCTACTGTCACTACACTTCATGTAGGATGAGGGGATGACCTCTGCTTTGCCATCAAGCAAGGAGGGGAAAGACCATGAAAATCCACCCTCATGCACTCAAAGAGGGAAGGGGGACCCAGAATACCACAGCTCTTCATATAGAGAGGGGAAGGAGCCTCTGGATCTGCAAACATGGGCATCCCTAGCCCGACTGCAGCAGCAGCTGCTGGGTCACTGGAGGGAGAGGCAAAGGGAGGGGGCAAAATACCCAGCACTACTGGGGCTCAGAACTGGTTCTGATCCTGCCACCACCATTCTCTCTTAGCTCATCCAGCCTCATCCTCAGCTCCCCACTGGGGTGTTCAGGCAGCTAGGATGGGTGGCTCCTGGCCACGTCTGCCTCCATCACAGCTGTGCTTCCTCAGCCTGCTACACCCACTGTGGCCAGCTTTTAGAAGAACAATAAAAGACCTTTCTTCTTAGGCATTGCTGCATATGGCACAATGAAGAGACAGATCTATGGGCACTGGTGGACACCCTTCAGACCAGACTCCAAAAGAGAGGACTCTTTGAGGTCCCTAGCCATTAGCACCTCTTCCAGTGCCAAGGATTGGGCTTTATATAGGCTTATAGGACTCAACCCCAAGCTTTGAGAGGCATCTAGGCCCCATTCTCACCTCTACATTTCTGAAGCAGAGGCCTCTGTGGCATGCCTAGCTCTCCTCCAAGTTCCCCAGAATCCCTATTTCCTCCCCAGGAAGGGGATCTGGGCAGATAAAGGCACATTTATCCATGCAGTAGAAGGCTGTTTGTGTGAGGGATGAAACCTCTACCTCCTCAACCGACATCTTGCAGGCTTAGTACCTGCTTCCACTGTAAGTAAACGGTAAGGTCACAGCAGTGGTTTTACAAAGGGAGATCAAGTCAGGGGGCATCTCCTCTAACAGCTTGACACAGGGCTCAGGATCCAATACAGGGCCTTATCCCAACAGCAGAGGGTTATTTTGAGACATCTCTGCCACCGTCTCCACAGCGGGGCTGGGGCCACAACAGTTCCTTGTGGAGATAGGCTTGGGGTCCTGGATTATCACATTTGAGGCCTGAGGAAGGAACATAGAATTTGATCATGAATAATAGTAGAAGGTATTTATCCCTGGGAAGAGAAACGCATTGTAATCAACCCCCCCCCACACACACACACACACACACACACACATTTACAGCACCACACTGGCCATAATACAGTTTGTGGCAGGTCCAATCTTCTTCTTCCGCCAGGCAAACATCTTCTTCAATTCCCCTCTGAAGCTGTCATGCAGCCAGGCATAGAGAAAGGCATTGGTGCAGGCAGACATCATCGCAAACCAGTGGCACAGCAGTTGGATGAGATTGAAATACTGCTTGTCTATCAAGTTAATATCAATGTCTTTTATCACATTAAAGATGTGAAGGGGCAGCCAGCAGACTCCAAAGGCTGCCACCACCAAGACCAGCAAGCGGAAGGTCTTCCTTCTCCTAGCCCTGTCCAACTCAGCTTGGCCCTGGGTAACATTGCCAGGGACCACCCGGTTTTTCAGTTTGACAGAGATTCTCAGGTAGGACAAGGAGATGATGATCAAGGGCAACACATATGTGATGATGAGAGTGCTGTAGGCATAAGCTAAGCGGTCCCTCTTCATGTGGAACCAAAACTCCTCACAGATGGAGAAGTCCAGTTCCGGGAACTCTGCATGGTAGGTATGGACCAAGGCTGGCGCAGCTAACATGCAACTCAGTAGCCAAATAGCAGCCAGAATATAAGCACAGATTGGGATTGTGATCCTCCTCCGCAGAGGATACACCATGGCATAGTACCGATCAACAGCTATGACGGTCAGGGTAAAGACGGATACAAACACAGTGACAGGTTGCATCAGAAACACAAAGTAGCACATGAAGCGTCCATAGACCCACCCTCTGGGCTCAAAGGCATAGGCAAGAGTTAGAGGCACGCATGTTGCACACATGAGCATGTCTGAAAAAGCCAGGTTGCCTACCAGGAAGTTGGTGACGTTGTGCATTTTTTTTGTCTTGCAGATGACATAGATGAGGAGATAATTTCCAATGATGCCAACAAACACCACCAGGGAGTAGCAAGGAATGATGAGTGGCTTGAAGGACTGCACAAACTGGAGCCCAGAGAATAAATTGCTGGCATTGCTATGAATGGCTGAGAGGAAGCTTCGGGAGGTTAAATTGTCCGGATTCATCATTTTTCTGCCTTGTAGTTTGTCTTCAGTAGGGTGAACTGCACAAGCACTTACTCTCAATCAGCCTGGATAATGACTGGGTTATTGACCCTCCAGATATTACCACATGGATAATAAACAGTCATCTGTAAAAACAAAGGTGAGGTTATGAGCTTCTTGAGACTGCTTGAATTGGGTTGCAAGAAAAATCTGTTGCAAACAATTTCCATTAACATTTTATTTTTTTGCTATTAAACCTAGACTTTCACAGCATGCAGCTTAAGAAAATATTTAACCCAGTGAGTACTTACTGTAGTGGGTTTTTAATGCCATCTGATTTTCCTGTGGATGCCTTAGATTTCTGTCTTCTGGGTATCTGCAAGAAAACATACGTATGTGTGTGTATGAGAGAGAAAGAGAGTGTGTGTTTACAAGATAAGCAGACATCAATGCTTTTAACAGTCTTCACTACTTGCTGACAACAAATTTGTGTACAAGCCTTTATCCCCATTGGCCACCCTAGGCATTACGTTGCGAGTTCTTTGAGTATCCTTTGAAGAGTTCCTCCCCCTTCCCTCCTCCCCAGGACATCTGTAATTGCTGCCATGTGGCTATAAATCAACTTACATTTGTTGATATGCTCCTACACAGCATCTGATCCAAGATCCATTTGCAGCCATCCTGATGAGAACATCGAAAAAACTGCCTGCGAGCCTACTGATACCATTTGACTTCAGAATATGGAATTTTACTAAAATGCTAAAGTAGTATAAATGTTTAGACCACTAGAGGGACTCAGCTACTTGCCTGGCAAATAGAAGTTGTAAGCAGTTATAGCTAGCTATATAACGTGCATAACTGTTTTATAAGTTATTGAACTCTCATTAAAAAAACCAACAGCACCCCTGGTGACCATTCTTTACATATTTTAGTCTAGGTGACAATGATGTCAAACCTTTTAAAATAAAACATCGAGCCATCTAGTGAAAAATGATAATTATACCCAGCTCTTATCAATTGTCTAATTGCCTGGTTTCAGGCATGCCTACTCTTCTACAGTGGGATCTGAGTCACTAACATTTTCTATATCAAAGAGTTTACGTTCTACAAATTCAGCACTGCACTTAAGTTGCTTTACCTGGGTGAGGTTGAGAAGCCTAATAAAATCAGATCACACCCTTGGGATCAGGTACATTTTAACAAACCTGACATGTATGGCGTTAATCACCGCCCTTGTTTTACCTTCACTATCTTCAACTTTTATCCGGTAAGAATCCTTCTAGGACCAGATCTCAACTGGTATACATCAGTATCATTTCATTGAAGCCCACTTTGCTCCAGCTGGGGTTTTAACTATTTCGAGCAGAGATTATGGATAAGTTGTTTCTATGCACTCTGAAGATTTTGTCACAAAATTAATGGAAATAATGTGTCTAAATCCCCTTGGGCTACTCTGAAAATATAAACCCATACCTTTTCTTTGGTGCAGAGACTATGCCTCCCCTCTCTGTTTCCTATTCTACTAGCCTGGTAGAAATAGTGGCCTAAACTAATAAACATAGGTTTGATTTGAACTGAAGAAGTCCTGCTTTTAAAAGGACAAAAGTTAATCTGGAATAGCCTTTGGCTGTATCTCAGTGATTCTGCAACAGCAAAAATACAGTGCAATTTAAAGCAGTGCTGCTTCTACTATGTTTGCCCTTACAACTGTGTAGAAGCTGACATCCAGTTGCACTCGTCAAGAGGACTGCTGTTCTTAGAGGCACAATTCCTTCCCTGCTCCCTCCTCCTACCAGCCCATTGTTTCATTAGAGTAATGATCTACTACTAACTGGACATGCCTACATGTGCTATTAATGCACAGAAATAAACACTGGTGCATATTGTGCCAGAGTTTATTGTTCCTGGGCACTGCATTTAAACATGCACCCAAGACCACAGCACATTCAGCCAGGTTGGAGCAGCCCCCACTGACTGGAGGCCAGGGGGTCAGTCTGCCAGCCCAGGGCTGCTCTAATCTGGCTCAACGTGCTGTAGAGGGACTGGTTGAAACATGAGGGTGCTCGAGTGCAGGGCTAGCTGGCAGGCAGCCCCCACAATGAAGCACCCTTGTGCCCCAGCCAACTCCAGTGTGTATTGTATTACTGCACATGAATTGCTGTGCAAATACTCCACTGTAGGTTAGTACTTGAATTTACAGTTTATTAGTTTGCTTGGGCCTAATAGGGCCATACGTGTAGACATTGAGATGTTTTCTGTGGAGTTAATTAGGCAGCTCTGGAGTAAATATTTTATGTAGATGCCCCCACCTTTAAGCAGCAGCTGGACCCCACTATGCCAGTGCTGCTGCCCATCCCTGACTCCTTGGCCAGGGTATGGCTGTGTAGAAGCATAGTGCCTTTTTATCCCTTAGACATAGATGTAGATGTTCCACTTACTCCAGGAAGAAATGGGAGCCTAATCAAAAGACTGTTGAAGTCAAGCTTTCCATTAATTTCCACAAATTTTGGAACAGGGCCTACCAGCCCAAACACACAACAGGCGATATAAGTTCAGGTACACTTTCCCTCCAGAAAGCAAGAACCACTACAACACTGACATGCCAAAAAAGATTTCAGGGACATACTTGGAAGCCACATTTTTAATCCAATCATGTAGCCAAGTTGTTACATTAGCAGCTAAGTAAATCTATACACCTATTCAATAGGCTTCCAGCTGAGAGAGAGATTATACTTTGTTACAAGAGAGAGAAATCAATATCCTGAATAGAATAGCAAGAGAACTGCATTCAGGGACATCTTAATGCTCAGGTCATATGCAGTAACTTAAAAGGCCCCTTCACTTCTAGCTAGGTACTGCAATTCCCATGCTTGTCCTCGTACTGCCCCCCCCAGGGATATCTTATTCTTCTCTGAATCCTGTAATGACCATGTCCCTAATTTAAAGGTCTCTATCATGTTCTTTTTAGTAAAGACTCATTCTCTTCCAACTCAGCTGTGTTCCAGGGCCAAGTTCTAGGACAGGGGCATCCGATTTCTCAGTGATCAGGGGCCACATCCTGAGCGGAGCACACCAAGGCCACAAAAGTGCAAGCCAAGGGCCCCGGGCTCCCTACACTGTTTCACCATGCACACAAGCAGCTCACCCTTCACTACTCCACCATGCACACAGACCACTCCCTTCCCTACTCTACCACGAGTACAGGCAGTTCTGCTCCCTGCCACACTGCTGCATGCATAGGCAGCCTCCCCAACTCACCCGCTGCAGGCTCCCCTGCTTCACCATGGCTGTACCCCCTGGGGCAGGCATAGAAAGTAGAAACCTGAAGGAAAGCCCAGAGACCTTGGCTGCTGCTGCAGCAACCAGAGGAACAGGAGAAGCAGCAGCCAGGTGGGAACCTGACAACTGCGGATTAACCCCTTGCAGGCCACATGTAGCCCACAGACTGCCAATTGGACAGACCTGTTCTAGGAAATACTCTGATAGAGACTGCAAAATGGATCAAACACATTGCTATTTTATCTAAAAGAAACTCAATGTGATCTTCCTTTTTTACAGATTTATCTGCTAACGATGCTTTGAATTTTTTGGATGGAATGCCAAAAGTCCTTCCTGAGCGTTGACTACATCTGTGTTACAAGCAATCTTTTCTTATTAGTGGTGTAAAAGGTCACAGCAGCAGCACTTCTGTCACATTAAAACAATTTCAGGATGTAACATACGCTTCTCCCACACCTCCAGAAGTCAATTATCTATCATCATTAGTGGGGCTGGCATTTCACTTTAATTTCTAACAATTATTTCCAACAACATGAAAGCAGGCTCAGTGTCTGCTGATTCTAGTAGCACCTCTTGCAAAGTTAAGCAGTATTTCTTGAGCTAGTTAGCCATCCTTCTACTGTGCATGCTCCATTGAAACCATCAGTAAGCTTCTTTCATTAAGTTTTCAGGGTCTCCTGTCTTATTCTGTTCTGTGTGGTATGTGCTGGATACATCTTCCTCCAAGGAATATGAAAAGCTTTTAGCAGCAGTCCGCTCTAACACTTTTCATACAAGAATTATTTAGAAGGGTTCTGTATCTACTTCTCTTCACCCAGGATGCTCTTTAGAGTAAAAGGCATACAGTTCTTGTACACTCCAGAAGAAAAGAAACTCTTGTAACTACTAAAGGAAGCAGAGACGAAGAGGATAGGGGAAAACAGAAGAAAGATGGAGAGTTCATTTACCTCAGAGTTGATTCTCAAGAATAAGAGAAGAGGTCATGGTGATGATTGATAACTGTGCTATTTGGAGTAAATGACTTTGACCAATTCAGATAATGAATGCTCAGCATCTTAAGCCATAGGTAGACATGCAGTTACATAACGGGTACCTGATTTTCAAGTGCTAAATCTTTGTTTCTCCTTTTGATTGCAGTGGAAGTTGCAGTAGTACAGCACTTCAAAAAATCCGAACATCTAAACTAAGTGATCTTGGATCAGATGATGAAGAGCTGATTCCATTCAAATTAGATGGAAGGATCAAAAAAAAAAAAAAAAGCCTGGCACTAAAGTTATCAGTTTCAAAATAAACTCCGTTAGTGAAGTTGACTTAAATGGGCTCAGGGATATGAATGTATAGGAGGACTGGAATTCCTTTAAGTCAAAGGTGCAAAAATAATTTGGAGCTTGTATTTCCAGGAGGGAGGAAAAACTTGCAGGAAGGACCTCACAACCTTAGTTGATTAATAACCACCTCAATAAAAGGTGTTAGGAACAAGCAGAGAGCTTACATGGAATGCAAAAAATCTGATAACCAAAGACAGCCGTATCAGAGAGGTCAAGAATGGAGAGAGAAAGTGAGAATTGCCAAAAGTCAAGCTGAGTTAGACCCTGCAAGGAATAATAAAACAAATAGCAAAAGGTTCTTCAGCCACATAAGATAAGCTGAGAGCAAAGAAAAGGCAAATCTCCAATGCAGTGAGGATGGGGAAGAGATTAAGGATGAGCAAAATATGGCCCAAAATGAACGTCACCTCAGTTTTC